CAGTGTAGACCCGGGGCCCAGCATAGTGCCTGGCACACAGTCGGTATTCAATCAATGTTTGTTGAATAGCCAAACAATCAAACAAGCTCACCAGTGAGTTCCCAGTTACCAAATTCATTGAATTGTTTCCTTTCAAAGTTTTAAAAATGATTTTCATGTTTTTTCCTGATTAGAAAGTAATACATATTTGTATTAGAGCATATAAAGCATAAATTAAAATTGCCTGTAATCTATCACCCAGAGATGATAATTTTTCTGTATTTGTCTGCATTTTCTCACAGTTATATTTTTGTGCACATAGAAAAGTATAATTAAAGTTGTTGTACCTCATATACAATCTTATGTCCTGACTTTTTTCACCTAACATTAAATCAAAAGAATGTTTACACCTCATTAAAATATTCTCTTAAACATCATGTAACGGGTTCATGACCTGTTCTCTTATGATAGCACCACCATTTACTTAATCAGTTCCTTGTCAGTAGGCCTAGAGATTAATTCAGAGTTTTCACTGCTATAAATGACGCTGACATGGGCACTTTATGCACTAATTTTCATGCAGACTCTTTTCAGGCCCCCTTTTTTGTGTTGAGTGAAATTGCGAATTTTCATTGTTTTTAACCCATAAAAATGTCAGTTTTGTTTGCCCCAATCCAGCGCCCAGCTCTTCCGAAGCAAGGGTGTCAGTGTTCCCTCTGCTGAGCTGTCGCTGTCTGCCAGCTGGCTCTCACGCTTCCTTCCCACTGATCACTTTCTCATGCCCTGTTTTGCCCTTCAGTCCCCTTACCCTCTTCAGTGCTGGGGCCCCGTCCCCACCTGGCCTTCCCTCAGCTCCGCGCTAATGCTGCAGATCCCTTCCCACATCCTAGTCTTCAGGCCTGAGTCACCCCAGCATCAGGTGATTCCACCTAAATACTCTACCAGGACCCAAAGCCAGTTAGACCGCGTGCTCACCTTCCTGCTCCCCCGCAACTCAGTCTCTGACTCTGGGCAAGATTGTAACCCCAGCAAGGCTGACAGTGGTGCCGCCTCTAAGGATTAAGCGAGATAATCACATTTCATAGATTCTAAGACACAATCCCATCCCCCAAATACACATTTTGATGGCTCTGAGGTGGGAGTGTCTCTCACGGGGAGGGGTGTGGCATGGCGTGGTGTGGCGTGGCTGTGCTGGAGGCACTTTCTTTCTTGGTGGCACATGAAACGAGGGTGGCGTCTGTTATCCATGCAGCACAGTGTACGAAGTATTCAGACAGCGCTCCACAGATGTTCTGCGTGCTGGGGAGGCTGCTGCGCTGTTTTCTGGATTCCAGCTGCGCTCTCCGTGTTCACCCAGTCGCTTGATGCTGAAACCTTTGCTCCTTTCTGCACGCCTTCCTCTGCGCTCCCACAGTTGTTCCTCTCCGACAGCTCCCTTCCCCTGCAGAAGCAGCCGCCTGGCTCAGGCTTCCTGCTTCTCTCACCGGGATCCCTGCTGTGGGAGCCCAGTCGACACCACTCCAGTCTCCTGCTCTCTGGTCTCTTCTAAATGCACATCTGAATGTGGTTTAAAGGCACTTGATGGCTCCCCATTGGGAGACTTCAAGGTAAGTCAGAACTCCTTGAGCGGCGCCCAGGCCCTCCACAGTCCATGCCATCTGGCACGTCCTTCCTCTCCTGGCCTGCCGGGTGACACCCGCCATTCTTTCAAGGCTCTGTCCCCGCATCTCCTCTCCTAATTGCCACCTCTTCCCACTGCCCTCAGGAAGCCCTGAGCATTCCCACCTCTTGTCCCCAGCGCATCTACAACACCAGGTTGCATTTTCCCCTCTGCTTGTCGTCTCCCCTCACTGGGCTGAGGGCTGTGTCAGTTCAGCTCTGGAGCCCAGTACCTCCCAGTCTGGGCACTGGAGAAGGATGGGCCCCTACACGTGAAGGAGAGCTCGCCCCCTCTAGGCCCCTCCTAGCATGCGGGCACTCAGGCGCCTTCTCTGGAATGCAGACTGACGACTCTGTAGAGACTTTAACTCTCAGTATTTCAAGAAAGATCTATGCTGTTTTTTGGAGTCTAAATGGGGGGGCGGGTTGGCGGGGAGAGGAGAGGAACTTGCAGAGTGCAGAGAGGAAACAAAATCATTCTGGAAAGGATCCCAAACTCAGAGCCTTTGTATCAAGCTCGAAGATGGCCAGCAGACTGGGAGAGGGCTGAGAGGCCCGTGGTGCTCTCGCCAAGGGTCCCGGGAGAAGGCCGATGTGCCAGGTGAAAAGGTGCCTTTGCATTTTCTTCATTTTATTTATGTATTTATAAATCTTTTTTTTTTTTTTGGAGGAAGGTTAGCCCTGAGCTAACATCTGCTGCCAATCCTCTTTTTGTTGAGGAAGACTGGCCATGAGCTAACATCCGTGTCCATCTTCCTCTCCTTTATTTGTGGGACGCCTGCCACAGCGTGACTTGCCAAGCGGTGCCATGTCCGCACCCAGGATCCGAACCGCCGAACTCCGGGCCACTGAAGCAGAACGTGTGCACTTAACCACTGCGCCACTGGGCTGGCCCCAACATTTTCTTCATTTTAAATCCATAGCTATTTGAAATTTCCATTCACTTCATCAGATTCATCAAACACATGGTCTCACTGATTCTTTGCTGTTTTATGACATTTTATTCTATTGCCAGAAAGCGTACACCAAATGGTCACATGCTAACAACAGAAGACAGAGCAGTGACTTGACTGATGAATTCATCCACTCTTTCCTCACGAAAAATTAAGAGGAGATGAAAATGAGCTCAGCTGATTGATTATAGGTTGTGGGAGAAAGACTTGGTGAAAAATAAAACTTAGCAGGATAGTATGCATAAAACTTCACTGGGAAATCATGTGATAATCCTGAATTCGTGTCACACACCCCATCCAGGAGGACAAAGAAAATTAACAACTTGAGGATTTACCAGGTAATTTAAACTCTAAACTCTCCCTCTTCATCCCCGTTGCTGGCAAAACCATAATTCTGAATGAAGAAATATGAGATTTTAATTTTGTCATTAATTATCCTGCTTATGAATGTCCCAGTGAGTCAAATGAATGGGCTGTTAAATCTTCACTGACTTCCCTTACCTGTACACGAGCCGCTGTGCTGTGGACATTTCAGCAGACTGTGTTGCCTTGAAATTCAGTTCATCACAGGGAAAGTGCAGGGATGTCACAGACATCACAGTTTAAACAAATACCCGGGCCCCAAGCCCCACCCCCTACCGAGCAAGGCCACTGGTCGCGCTGGCCCCGCAGGCGTCTGAGTCCTTGCTGGCTCTGCCAACACTCGTTTCCATGCCTGGTACGACGTTGAAGCCCCGGCCTACTTGGCTTGGACAACTCTCCCAGAATCTGGAGGCCTGGCCGGAACAGTACCTTTTGCAAAGATTCATAACTAGGGGCTGGCCCCATGGCTGAGTGGTTAAGTTTGCACACTCCACTTCCGGCCCAGGGTTTTGACGGTTCGGATCCTAGGTGCAGACATGGCACTGCTTGTCAGGCCATGTTGAGGCGGCATCCCTCATGCCACAACTAGAAGGACCCACAACTAAAATATGCAACTATGTACTGGGAGGCTTTGGGGAGAAAAAGCAGAAGAAAAAAAAAAGATTGGCAACAGCTGTTAGCTCAGGTGCCAATCTTTAAAAAAAAAAATCGTAACTAATGAGCAATTACTAATTACTAAAGTATCAGAAAAATCTACTTTGTTTTGCAATTTATATAGAACACTTGAACATTTCATGTCAAATCTTTATTTTTAATTATAAAACTAATATTTGTTTATTGTGTCAATGAAAATAATCCATAACCAATCTGTAAATGAAAATTTGGGTGAGTTTATTCTGAGCTAAAATCTGAGGACCATGGCCCGGGGCCTTCCTTCCCGAAGGAAGAAAGGGCACCGAAGAAGTGGGGTGCACAGAGTGGTTACATACCCCCAAACAGGGTGTTTCACATGTGATTGAAATGTCCCTCCCACAATAGTCACAAGATTGCCCTGTCGGCACAGCACTTGATGGACACAGCAGGTAATGGTCTGCTATCTTGGTGGGCGTAGCAGGAGGCAAGTCTATCATCTGGAGCTGGGCGGTCACAGGTGAGCGCACCAATCAGTTCCTAGCCTAAGGAAAGGTTCTTAATCCTTAAGAAATGCCAACGTTGGGAGGGGGAGGGAAGTCAGTTACAGGAGGTTACCAGAGAAGCACAGTAAAATGCAGATTTAAGTCCTTGCCTTTGGTATTGATTAAGAGTTTCTAGAGAGAAGGTCATCTCCTTTCTTCTTCCTGGTACAGAGAGGGAGGCACCTTTTACAGATAGAGATTTACCTTCCAAATGTAAATGTGTCCTAACGAAGGGCAAGTTCTATTCCTCAGAGCCTCCTTCCCTGTCCCAGTTTATCAAAAGCAATCAGCCTCAAATAGTCCTGATGCCAAAGAGACATATCTTGGGGTGGTCAATTTCAGGTCCCTACAAGGTCAAAGTTTACTTTTTTCCAAATTTATTGCCAGTTAAAAAAATCAGTCTGCAGCATCAGCAACTTTTCACTTTCTTGCACTGGGTACAGCTGCCCTGGCCGCGGCTCCCTGCCGGCGGCCTCGCTCCTCCTCGCCAGCTCTGTCGCTTCTCCACCGGGGCTCCTTCTCCACCTGGGCTCCTTCTCCGCGAGGCGGCTCTGCGGCCTCCTCCAGTTTGCGTGTCTCACCGTTTTCTGACGTCACTCTTTTCAGTATTTCTGTGTCTTCTGAGCAGAACACTGTATTTTCATCTTTTCAACTAGTCCGAGAGGCTCTCCCCTCAGTTCCTTCCATTTAAATTTACTGACTGTCATGTTTGTCTCATTTCTGTTTTCCTGTTTGTTTTCCTTTCCTTACTCTTTTCCCTGTCTGTGTTGACTTCTTTAGCAAATGTCAAGAAAATGCTAGGAAGCTGTGCTTCAAACCGTCCTTCATTTATTTACTTTGACTCTCTTGAAATCCCTCTTTTACATGACAGGAAACAGAGACGCCAGGAGCACAGGCGGCCATTTGGATGCAGCGCAGCAAGGGCTCCTGGAAGCGGGGCTTCCCGCGCGGCCCGGCCCGGAGCCGCAGCGAGGCCGCGTGTGCCCGGCGAGGCCGGACCGGGAGCCGGGCGGTTCTCAAGGGCCCCCGCCGAGCTCCCCGCCCGCGCTTCCCTCTCGAGACACACGGGGAGCCTGGACGCAGCCCGCGGCCCGCAGACCCCGGTGGGACTGTGGCCCGAGCGGCGCCGCCCGGGCGGCGGGCCCTGCCTCGGGGTCCAGGGCCGTGGGCTCCTGAGGGTCTGCGTGGAGGAGGCGGCGTCGGGCACCGAGAAGCGGGCGACCCCAGCGCCGTCCCCAGCGGCCTGGCCCCGCCGCGCCTGCGCCGCTCCCGACGGGCCGCCTCCCGGGAGACCGGGCCACGCGGCGCTTCCTCGCAGGCTCTTCCCCTGAGGAAGAGCTGCAAAATCAGGCACTTCGAAAACCGCGCGCTTAGCAACCATCGAACTCCGTTTTACAGGACCGGAAAGTTGAAAAACCGTCGAAAGAAACCCCAGTAGCCGCCTGTGACCAGCTGTCTGAAGACCAGATGCCACCTCCTGACATCCGGTGCAGACGGGGCATATGGCCCTTTACCTCTAAAATTCCAGAAGATATGCCTCTCGCTGACTCGGCGCGGAAGCAGCCGCCCCCTCCTCCTCCTGCCCCCTCCTCCCCCTCCTCCTACTCTGAGTGCTCTCCGGTGGGAACACTGCACAGTCATGCTTAGCTGAAGGGCTGCACAGCCAGCTTTCCTGGACATCTCTTTTTTTTTTTTTTTTGCTAGTTTATAACTTTCCATCCTCCTCACTTTACTCAAGTCATCCTCATTTATCCTAACTCCAAAGTGAGAAATTACTTAACTAATTTGATAGCTGTTTTTACCGAGGGAGGATAGATTTCTATAAGATCATCCAGTAAAGCCCATTAGCCATCCTGGAACTTACTGGAGCCCTCAGTGAACAGGAACGATGTATGACTTTGATCTAGTACCCTGATCCCAAATAACCCACACACACAAGGAGGAAACAGACACCAGAGGTCTCGAGGCAACAGTTAAATGTTTGTGTAACAGCACAACGCAGGGTGGCAAGGCTGTGGACCTGAGCTGACTCCAAGCTCACTCAGCCCCTGGACCTCTCTTCCTCATTTGTAAAGCTGTGACGTGACCCACCTCCCAGAACTCCATTCAGGTTTAGACAAATCAGGTTTGCAAAGATGGCTATGAAAGTGCCTGGCATTCACTTGATGGGCAATAAAACATTGTCTCTTTCCTTCCTTCTTTACTGAATGCATCTGCCACACTATAAAAACTCTAATAAAAAACACTAACTCAGAAGGATATCTGCACCTCCACATTCATCGTAGCACCATTTACAACAGCCAACATTTGAATGCAGCCTGAGTTCATCCATAGGCGAATGGATAAAGAAGATGGGGTGTGTGTGTGTATGTAGTGGAATACTCTTCAGCCATAAAAAAGAATGAAATCTTGCCATTTGCAACAACATGGATGGACCTCAAGGGCGTTACGCTAAGTGAAAGGAATCAGGCAGAAAAAGACAAACACTGTACGATCTCTCTTATATGTTGAATCTAAAGAAAAAGATTTAAAAACCAAGCTCATAGACACAAAGAACACATTGGCAGTCACCAAAGGCAGTGGGTAGAGGGTAGGAGAAATGGGTGAAGGGGGTCAAAAAGTAAAAAATTAGCAAAGACAGAGTCTTTAACATTTATGCAAACCCTAAATTCTGTTTATTGAAAACACTCATCAAGAATACTTGGTGGGCAAGTAGCACCTCATGGCATTTACCCACCTCAAGGATTTTATAATCTTAGAGCATGGAGCGTGTGCTGGAGAAGTGGGTGTAAAAATAAATGGGATGGGGGCTGGCCCCGTGGCCGAGTGGTTAAGTTCGCGCACTCCGCTGCAGGCGGCCCAGTGTTTCGTTAGTTCGAATCCTGGGCGCGGACATGGCACTGCTCATCAGACCACGCTGAGGCAGCGTCCCACATGCCACAACTAGAAGAACCCACAACGAAGAATACACAACTATGTACCGGGGGGCTTTGGGGAGAAAAAGGAAAAAATAAAATCTTAAAAAAAAATAAAAAAATAAATGGGATGATGAAAACACAGTAGGTGCTGTGAAAATTATTTCAGTTCTTAGACAAGGGATCGAGCCAGAAATAGGGCGACATTTCTACGTTGGAAGCTGGAATCCGGAATTTAACTATTGAAATATTCCTGTGTCATCATTCGACAAGTGCTCACAGAGAGCCCACATAGACCAAACACTCAGCATTGCTCCCAATAGGGGTTTATTATTTTAGGCTTATAGTTAGAGCTGAAGGAGAATCCAATAGGTTATGTTTAAAGGTTTTAACCAGTTAAGATAAAGGAAAAAACTTTAATGTGGCTTGTTTTAAGCCATAGGGATCTGTCACTGTGTTTACTGAGGCGGCTTTTCAGCTTACCCTCGGGCTGTTTATAAGTTTGGGAATGTTTTATGTTGGCCATGATGGGTTGACCTTGATGGTTTATTTGCTTGATTACATCTTAAGTATATCGTGCAAATAAATAAAACTGTAAGAACTCAACTCCTAGCATTTTAGATGAAACGCTGATCTATGGGTTGCAGTCCCCTGTCCCCGCCCCCACACTGTGGAAGGTCAGGGTGAGTGGACACTCTCCAGCAGGGGAAATGGCAGTGAGCCTTGATGCTCCCCTTTTCTGAGTCCAAATGTTTGCACCTGGTCCCCTGAGAGACCAGGTCCCACTAGCCCAGACTTTATCCACAGACAGTTCCCAGCACAGCCTTCAGAGAGGGATGAAGGGAAAAAGACAAAAGAACAAAAAACAAAACTCTGGGAGTGGGGGTTACTGCCGTCCTGCACCTGAGACACCAACAGGCTGACAAGGCTGACGTGCAGCTGTAGACACAGACTTAGCGTCAACGTACTTCGATGCATTTCAGAATGATTTTCAACAACAAAATTGAGATAATAAAAGATTATCTGATTATTTAAATAGACATATCTCTGAAGAAGATATTCAAATGGCCAATAAGCCCATGAGAAGATGCTCAGTATTAGGGAAATGCAAGTCAAAACCACAAGGAGACCTCATGTCACACTCAGTAGCTGACGAGAATCAGCAGACAGAAAGTTACAGGTGTTGGTGAGGATGTGGAGCCCTCATCCTCAGCTGCGGAATGTCAAATGCTGCAGCCACATGGGAAACAGTCTGGCTTTTCCTCAAAAAGTTAAACATAAAGTTACCACATAACCTAATAATTCCACTCCTAGGTATCTACCCAAGAGAATGGAAAACCTACATCCACACAAAAAACTCGAATTTTCATAGCAGAGTTATTTATAATAGCCAAATAGTAGAAACAACCCAAACGTCCATCAATCAATGAACAGATAAACTGTGATATAACCATACAAGGGAATATTATATAACCATAAAGAGGAATAAAGTTCTGGCATGTGCTACATTGTGGATAAATCTTGAAGATATTATGCTGAGTGAAAGAAGGCCACAAAAGGCCACATATTATCTGATTCCATTTATATGAAATGTCCAGAACAGGCAAATCTATAGAGACACAAAGTAGATAAGTGGTTGCCAGGGGCTGGGGGAGGGGAACTGGGGAGTGATAGCTAAGGAGTGTGGGGTTTTTTTGGGGGGAGTGATGAAAGTCTTCTAAAATTGGATTTGGTGATGATTGCATAATTCTGAATATACCCAAACTATTGAAATATACACTTTGAAAGGGTGAATTTTTTGATATAGAATTATGTATCAATGAAGCTGTTATTTTTAGAAAAGATTATGTGATTAATTCTAAACAAAGAAGAATTGTCAATGAATTGAAATACTTCATTTCCCATGCATTCTAGTAAACTGATACTTTACTGTCTTTGCCTAAGGAAAGAGTTTGTTTTTATACATGTTTTTGATCCAGCAGGAACTGAAACTGAACTTGAGCAAGGCCACATGCACGCCTGGACCCAGAAAGTGAAGAGGGAGGGGAGGACTCAGAACACGACTGAGAAAGAAGCCGAGTCTGAGAAGTGGTAACGGGGACGGCCAGGCTGCCCAGGTCCCCGATGCCAGAGCCACCCCTGGGCCCCAGGGATGCCGGCCTGCAGCTGGGTCCCCTCCACAGCTGTCACTCTGAGCACAGCTGTCAATGTGCGTGAGCAGCACCCTGTGTGTCTGCACGATGCACTCTCCCAGATGATGCAGCAAAACCATCTTTGTGCTTCTCAGGCTGAGGGCTGGAAACAAATTATGCAGAGTAATACTGAGAATTAAAGGTTTTTGAATTAGATTTTTTTCTCTAGCTATTAGTTTCTCTAGCTAATTAATAGGTAATAGTTACTCTGTTACCATATTTTGTGCTGTTGTGGATTTGTTTATAATTCTTTGGTGGATTTTTGTAATTTACCTTAAAAACCTGTGATTGTTACTTTAACAAATATCTAAATAAGCATCCCAGGTCCTTTACTCCTCCTTGCAGGGGGCCCCTTAGTCAATGGTGTTTAAAATCGTGGACCTGGAGTCAGACAGACCTCGATGAGAATTCTGACTCTTCAGTCGATCTGCTGAGTGATTCTGAGCAGGTTACTCAATCTCTCTGAACCCTTCATCCACAGAGTGAGATGGTGTTAGGCTTACGCTTGGCCTTCAGTGAGTTGTAGGGTCGCTCTTCAAACCCCTCCAGGCTGTCCACATCCCTCCCCTGACCTGAAGCCTCACACTGGGAACGATGCTGTGTTAAATGTCTGAGTTGGTGCTAAATTTGGGAAGCAGCGGCCTCTTGGCAGCGACTGTGTGCTTGGTTTTTGCCCTCGTGTTTGCACCTCTTTTTAACAGTGGAGCTAAGGGTTGACGTCAGCCGCACTTTCCGGCGTCCAGTCATGTTTCTGTGCCTCCGTCCTCACCCTGAAGACCACATCACTCCAGAGTTGTCCAGTTGCCTGGTCTCTGCAGCCTTTCCTGAAGATCCACAGTGAACGAAGTTTAGATGGTCCCTCACAGAACTGGGGCATCTTTTCTGCCTGCCGCTTCCCAGAGAGCTGACAGCTTACAAAGACTGCCACGTTCCCCGCGAGGAAGCAGCAGCTCCCTGCAGGAAGATGGTGCAGGACTTCCCACTGCACCGCTCTTTCCTTGCTGAGCTCTGCTTAGAGGCTCTTCAGTCGGCAGAGGGGCCTTATTCCATTCACACCCATTAGGGCCAGGAGCTCTGATTTTGAAGATAACTTGAAAAAGTAAAGTATTGGGTACGTTTTCAGGTGAAGAGATGTGTTTGTCCCATAATTACACTGTGTTAAGTTAGTTTAAATACGTAAAACTTTGAAATGCTTTTGAATCATCAAAAATACAACGAACAGGAACGGTGATGTGGGCGGAGGGGCAGCCATGCTGAGCCGCACTGTGTCCTGCTGGGCTGCGCTGGGTCCTGCTGTCATGCTGTGTGGGCACTAGGGGAGGCAGGGAGAAGCCTCCTGCCGGGTAGAGGAGGGGCTCCGCTGACCCAGCCAGCTTCCGTCTTTGTCCCTGGCCCTCTTCTGTGTCCGCAGCGCAGGTGAGAGCTCCACCATGTGGTGGCCGTGCTCCCTTTTCCCCGAGGGCAGCAAGCACAGGGCTCCCAGAAACTCCAAGTCTCCTTTGGGCCAATTTTGTCGAGTTTTACGTAGTTCACCCTCGTGCTTGCCGCTAAATCAGCCAGAGGTGGGTGACTACACCCGGCCGCTCTTGGGCTCCGGATCCTGTGCCTGCACAGAGAGGGCGGCCTCCCTCCTCCGGCCTGGGAGTGCACGCAGGCCCCTCTGGTTGCCACAGTCCTGAATGTCAGGGGATGTTCCGGAAGTGCACACCTGGGCGGCCCTTCCAGAGGGAGGTCTAGAGCTTCGTACTCCCAGAAGCCTCCATCTGGGCAGGAGGGGAGACGTGCCCAGGAGGAAAAGTGCAGCCTGTGAGCAGAAGTCGGGCTCCACAGCTAGGTGGGACAGAACACCAACAGGGCGCGATGAAACCTAAAACTGAACCTGACGCGACTTCCAGGCGGGGAACAGGGCAGCCGACATTGAAGCCGACTTGAGAACAGCCAGTTGCAGTGTGTCTTCGAGTCCGCAGCGCTGCCTGTCCTGCTGAGTCCGAGCCAAGGGGGGCCTCGCCTGGCTCACGAAGTGGCCATGGCTCCTGGTGTTCATCAATGAGGGCTGCTGTGTGTGTTTAACTGTCTTCTCCCCTCAACACAACTGCACTGTCCTAAGACAGCCGAGAGACTGGCTACTCCTTCAAGGGCCAGACTGCTT